ATTTTTATTTATTGCATGTGCGGCTCATATTTTTGAAACAGCGACGGCGCATTTATTCTCAAACCAATTAAAGATTGGAACTTTATAAAACACTCAAAGTTTTAATAATGAAAAGGTTTCAATCATTTTAAGGCAGTCGTAAATACTATATTAAAACAAAATATTTCGAAATATACAGAAAATGCAAACTTATCCTATATCAGAGAGAATTGATATGATTCTATTAGTTGGTGAATGCAGTATTATCGACAACATGAGAGAAATTATTATAGCACATATGCCTTTTAAAATGAAAGGATCTTTTAAAAAGACAATCATTTTATGCAGTTAACAGGAAAGGAAGCATTTTGAGCATTTGATTTCATCTAGCTATTTTTTGTCAAATAATTATAGACTTATACATCTAGTTTTAATTCTGTAATAATTAAAATATGTTTTAAACGTGTATCTTTTTATTACCGTTGAGTATTTAGAGCCTTTAATTTTTGTTAAATTAACAAAAGGTATACCATAGTCACCTAGATTTTTTCAAATAATAAAGATCTACTGACGCAAAATCATAAAAATTAAAATATGTAGGAAAATCTTTGTCTGGTTGGCAACCTTAATATTTTGAAGATATTTAAATTCCCCATTGAACACTGAAATAATATACTGGGTGTTCCGTTTAAAAAAAAGGAGTAACTTCCTTTTAAAAGTGACTAATGTTCCATATTAATTTTGTTTCCCCTTGTATATCTTTTCGGGTCAAATTTCAATTTGGTTTAATATACAATGGTTACTGTAATTAAATATCAGGCTATACAAGGTCAACCAAAATTTAGGTAGCTGTTATCGAAATTTAAAATTTACTCTTCAGTTTCACAAAATGTGAAATATGTCAAAATCCTTAGATTTTAGGTATATGATTCTTTAATAAAACTCACCTTTATTTTTTTCCTAGAATCCGAATATCAATTAATATATAGGGTGTTCCATTAGAAAAACTTTTTATGGGGACACCCTGTATAATTCTATATATTTTTATAAAATGCTTTCAGTTAACCTACATATGCTGCCAAAATTTCATTTCGATATAAACTATTGTTCTCCTTGGAGCTTCCGCAGCGTTTGAGAGGCGCCACCCTGTATAACGTAATAAATAAGCCAAAAACACAATAATGTAGTGGATGTTGTTTTGAGCCACCCTGTAGAAGTTACAATATTTTTTTATAATAGGCCCTGCTAGTACATAGTTTACTATGTGGTTTAGGTACCTATGCACTTTTATTTAATTCTTTAATTAGCGCGTTTGCCAAATTGTAAATATTTTAATGGGATTTTATGAAACATCACGGAATTCCCTTGAAATTCATTCAAACACCTTAAAATTCCCCTGCAATTTCTTGCTTGTGTACACTAAAATACCCCAGTGATTTCCCCCTCGGCCTCGGGTAGCACGGACTTATTATACAGCACGGACTTTTTAAGGCACAAAATGTGTGCGTACCTAAATAGCATAAAAATATATTTCAAAAATAAAACAATTCTTTTTGATACAATAATATCTAAAATCTAATATTGAAAATAAATATTCAAAATTAAGCAACAACCTGTTTCTTTATGAAATATTATTTCGTCTGATCTAAAAACAAATTTGCGATGTCAATCGCTAAAGCGATTACTGTTTTTTCCAAAATATTTTTGGAATCTTGTCCAAAAACTCGTCGCGTTGTATGGAGAGAGCTATCTATTCCCGTTTCACAATTAAGTCTCAAAATCGTATAACTATTTTTATCCATCCTGCAGGTTGTTTCGTAAAAATAGCTTCGACAAATTTATTTTTAACATCTATCAAACATTGACTTTATCCTGATTTTTCGTCATTTTTACTATACTATATAGTATACATATAATATTGATAAAGGCAAAATATCTGTATAAAAAAAATTGTTTTTTTTTGTTATTCGTTAAAACATTATACAAGGTGAGTCTTAAATATGTGCAAATATTTTCAGGGCTGGTAGATCTCCATCAAAGAAACATTTTTTCTCTTTGCTGTTTTTCAAAGTTCAAAATAAGCGAGTTATTTTAGGTAACAGTTTAGGTACAGTTTCGGCAGAATGGCATCATTAAATCAAACCAAACACATCGAAATTAATTAAATCGATTTATTTAAGTGATATTTTCAAAAGTCAATAACTCGGAAACGGTTGATTTGAAGTACATTGTGTGTATTTCGTTTTTTTCTTAGAATTGTAGGAAGAATTGAAATATGTAATAATATACAGGGCATTCTATTTAAAAAAATGAAACTTTGATGTGCCACGACTTTATGACCACACACACACACACGACCATGTATACTTAAATTAATTACTCGCTAATACATATTTAAAAATCTTATAACTTTTGTATTTAACTTTTTGCGGTACCTCCTATATTTTACCTAATAATCGACCGTTTCCATACACAAAAGCGACCCTGTAAATGTTGCCATATTATCAAGAAATTATGTTAACTAAAATCAAAAAAATTTCAAATTTTCAAAAAAAAAATTCGCGAAAAAACCTCATAATCGTGTTTGTGGGGTCAAAATATAGATACTACCCCTAAAAATGTTTGCACTTATTTTAAACTCACCTTGTATAATAAGATGAAGGCAAAATAGCTTTATAAAAATTGTTTCTTTACGTGGCTAGTAATCTTCATTAAAACATGTGCATGTCAGCGATGGCTAGGAAATGAAGATCGCTGTCATTTTATATGTAAAATTATATGGGGAATGTCATCGATGTTCATCTCTAAGCCAACTGGACGCCGTTTTTTTTCGATCACACGGTAATTATGTCTCAAACGTAGGTACCGTATGATCGAAAAAAAACGGCGTCCAGTTGGCTTGGAAATGACGATCGATGACATTTCCCATATAATTTTACATATAAAATGACAGCGATCTTCATTTCATAGCCATCGTTGACGCCGTTTTTATTCGATTATACGGTACCAAACGGCGTGGAACTATTATCATAAATAGTTATTTCTGGTATATGTTAACGCGGTTTTTTCGATTATGCGGTATTTTAAATACAGAGCGGTGAGAAAAACTTGTTAAAATAGATATATATTTTTTTATAGAAGGGAGCTAGAACTTTTAAATATATTATCTACTTTTCATATTATTTTTTTAAATACCTAGATTTTTTTATGCATTCAGTATGTATTAAAAATATTAAATCACATTACTCTTGAGAGAATTTTACATGTTTAAAGTTTCCGTGTATACCAAAGAACCTTGTAAAGAACATGCTATCTAGTTACTTTCATAAAATGCAGAGCCTTTTATCAGACAGAAATTTGTAAAAAAGTTAAAATAGTTTTTCTCATATTATTATAAAATGATAAAAAAACGTCGTCCAGTTGGCTTAGAAATGAACATCAATGACATTCCCCATATAAATTACATATATTATGACAGCGATCTTCTTTTCATAGCCATCGCTGATGCCGTTTTTTATTCCGCTGCCCATGTATAATATTGTAACTTGTAATTATTGTAACACACTGTATAGAAAATTAAATGCATCCTTGCGCATCCACCAATTTACTAATAAGAAAATGTACCTTGAAATTTTAAAATAGTTTATTGTATGAAAATATGTATAAATGTATAAATTAAGTTAAAAACAATTGAATTAGCTCAAGTAATATTCTCAAAGACTTATTATTATTTAATATGGTCTGAATGTTGAATCCTATATTTTATTATATAATTTTTAAATAAAATATATCTGAAAAACTATCATGAAGTTAGCCGCTAATTCATGAATTGACATTGACGTTTCGTGACAAAATTTGACCTTCCTACTTCCTATTAATTTTTACCATTTTTCACCTTTGAAATTTGACATCTCATTTAAATTTTAGTGCAAAAAATGTCAATCGCCCAACAATTTTACTAATTTGTTTGATTATAAATTTGATATTCTCATACCATACAAGATTTTGTGGATAAATTGAAATATTCATGTTATATGAAGTTTGCCAATCAACAGATAAGTTCAGAGCAGTGAAATAAAAATGGCGTTCATATTGATCAAAACTTCTGCTATCCGTAAGAAAAGTTGAATAAATGCTTTAAGATGCCTTAACTAGTGATTAATACAATTTCAATTTGTTATTTTGCATGTTGTATTTATATTTCAGCAAATATTTTCCAGCAATTATTGTTTATTTGTTAGAAATCTTGGTTTACTGTCCAATCTGCAAATGTCAAGCAAGTAGCTTTTCGATATTCTGATCGTTTTGCATGACTTTTTTACCCCTTAAACCTTAGCTTTTTGTAAATGAGTATTTATACTATACTTTACAGTAACGTTTAAACATGTAATTAACCAAAATATGGCCTGTTACTTATTATAAACGTATAGAAAGCCAAGTCCTTGGATCGTGTTCTTACGATGTGTATGTGACACTCAGGTACTTTGCTACGTAAATCTAAATTTAACTGATTTATTTTTGGAGAAATATTAAAGTAAGCTACACTAAGTAAATCTATCAACTACCTTAACTTGTTTTTACTATGAACTATTTCTTATATCTAGCACAGAAATGTAATTATGTAGTATTAAAAAAATATGACCAAACCAAATAAACATCGAGTTTTATGAGCTTTTTCAGAATTGACAAGTCTTTGATCCATGTTTGCCTATAACACGGAAGATAAATAAACCAAATAATTGGGGATGGGGGTGGTTTTGAGTTAAAATTAAGCCGAAAAATCAATAAACTCCGGGCGTAACAAAACGTAGGAGGCATTGAAATATCAGTTTAGCGCACGCGCCTGCCTTGATCAGCTGGCAGTTCTTTCATGATTTCTGCTGATTTTAGGCAAACAGAAATACAAAAATGCATAATTGGCAGCCTAAATACGAAATTACATATACGGCCGGCGCGGTTTTCCTTGAAAATGACAAAATTTAGATCGATTTTTCTATTTTCTAAGTGATTTTCTCTTGCAGGGCCAAGAATTTGAGCTTGGAAAATCATTTAGATTCCACTGATCCAAATAACAACATTACAATGACATCGGAGGATTTATTGCAACCTGGACATGTTGTAAAGGAGCGATGGAAGGTAAATAAATCCCTTTAAAAATGTATTTATTGAAATGTTATAGCCAAAGTATGTTTGTAGTAATGTTTAAGAACGTATTACTCATTGCTCATTGTTTCTATATAAATGTCTATTATAGGTTTATTTAAATCTATTTAAATGTTAGTTTTCAAATATTTTTATTCAGTATGTGTATGATCGAAAAAAACGGCGTCAGCGATGGCTATATGAAATGAAGATCGCTATCATTTTATATGTAAATTTAAATGGGAAATGTCATTGATCGTCATTTCCTAGTCAACTGGACGCGGTTTTTTCGATCATACGGTAATATAGACTGTGGTATAGAGAAAATAAATTTAATAGTGAACACATAGGTAAAAATTATTTGGTGCCTATTACCACACAAAATCTTTATACAGTTTTGTTGCAATACACCAAAACGCTTTTTTTTTTGTGCGCGGTTTTAGTAATAGTATTCAATTTAAAAAAAAACAATTCAGAGGTATCATCAGAAGGATGGCAAAAATTATGAAAAAGAGCCTCTGCTTTGCCTCTGCTGACTATTAAATTAATTATAAAACAGTTTAACTGACAAAAAAGCATTTTCATGTATAGTGGGAGACTTTCTAATGTTTTTTTACCGTTTATAGGTATTGAAAAAAATTGGAGGTGGAGGTTTTGGCGAAATTTATGAAGGTCAAGACTTACTCACCAAAGAACAAGTTGCTCTCAAAGTGGAGAGTGCCAGGCAACCAAAACAAGTTCTAAAAATGGAAGTAGCAGTACTGAAAAAATTACAAGGCAAAGAACATATTTGCAGGTAAATATTCCTAAAATAATGCCGCGTTATAACAAATTATAATTGAAATTCCAGCTTGAAAAATGTTCAATTGACTATTTAACAAATGCTTGTTTAAGATTGTGTTTTTGTCAATTTACACGTTCTATTTTTTATCTTGAAAACTCTTAGAGATATGTTAGTACTTTGTTAGTATAACAGAAAAATTATGAGATATGAAGGTATTTTCTAAAAATGTAATAATATACCCAGTGTTCTCTTAAATATATATGTACCCCTTACCCCTTAGGACATGTATACTTTGACACTCTCAAGGGAATTATAATTTATAGGGTATTTTCCGTTGACCTAGAATTACATTTTCAGAAAAATGCATTCTTCATAAAAAATGTTTGCTTGTTCTATAAGGCGCGATTCTTACTATCAAATATGTTGCATTTATAGTAACTTTTTCCCAAAAAAATTCATTCGATAAGCTAAAAGTAGGTACTTGCAAGAAAATTATAATAAATCGAAAAAATATTATAACTTTAACACCCTGTAGGTACGAAACAAAGCAGAATCGGACCTTAAATCTTATTTTTACCTGAGGAATCTCCCCACGAGGGATGGCACATTTTTTTTCTATATATTTTCTGGTCATTAAATTTATTTTTTTGGAAATATAGCTGAAAAATAGATTATACTTGACTACTATTTATATACAAGGTGTTTCAAAACAAATGGGAAAAACTTCAGGGGGTGATTCCTTGTTAAAAATAAAGGGTAGTTTGCTTCATAACGTTGGGTCAAAAGTCAACCATTAGGGAGATATCGCGGTACAAAGGTGGCGGAAAAATAATGTTTTTATTTTTATCTTGAAAACGAAAAGAGATAGACTAATGAAATTTTATGGAAGCATTACTGTTATGAAAACACACTTAACACACACAGGTAGACATTTTTTAACACTTCTTGTAAAAAATTTAATTGCTCCTGCAAAAGACGTTGTGTTTTTATTTGAGTTGCAATGTTTAAACATTATTTTTTTAACGATATTATTTTGTACTTTCATGAATTAAAAACAGCATTAAAAATTGTCTTGGTAAATAATTTTTAAGAGGTTATCGTTCAGAAGAGAATATAACGATATTATTATGAAATAAAACTGTTTGACAGCAGCCCACTAGATTCTTTATCTAAAAATGTTTTTTGTCCTGACATGTAATGCTTTATATTTTATTTTTTAATTTCAAATCGGTGAGTTTTAGCAAAAAAATACAAGAGATAAAAAAGTTTCTAAACAAACTAAACTATCAAAATTAATTTTTTTGCATGTGTTTGATAAGATTTTTCTTTAAATTTCGTTAACAAGAATGAGAGTTTATTTTAATCCCGTCCACTCATTTTAAAAAAGTTAGAAAAATTCCAGTAAGTGTGTTTTCATAACAGTAATGCTTCCATAAAATTTCATTAGTCTATCGCTTTTCGTTTTCAAGATAAAAAATAAAAACATTATTTTTCCGCTTTCTTTGTACCGCTTTTGTTGTTGACTTTGTTGACTTTTGACCCAACGTTTATAAAGCAAACTACCCTTTATTTCGAACAAGGAATCTTTCCCAGAAATTTTTCCCATTTGTTTTGAAACACCCTGTATATATTATAAATAATTATAGTATATCGTTTTTTACAGTCATGGTATCTGTTGGAATAGAAATCGGTGATTATTAACGTAATTGGTGTACCTACAAATTTATCAAAAATAAACTCACTGGCAAAAAAAACCGGCCAATAAAAACTAGTCCCAATTTCAAAGTTGGATTTTTCGAGAGCCACTCATTAGATTTTGATGATTTTTTTTAAATTGTAAATTAATTCCTTAACGGATGCTACGTCAGAAATTTCTATTCCGAATTTATTTTGAGCATATACAGGGCACAACAATCAGACGAAGTTTTTTGCCCGAACTTTGTAACACCCTGTAGGGTGTAGCAGCTGTAGTAGCTATTGCTAAATCAAATCACATTGTAGCCTCATCTTTTGTGAGTATTTTGTTTTTTTAATCACATTATCTCTGTTTGTATTGGAGATACGCTGCTTTAAAACGAACGTCTCGGAAAAATGCTTCACAGGCAGAAAGTTTTATCGGTAAATATTCAAGGCGACATAGACCAAAAGGGATTTATGAATATTTGCAATATCACAACAACGGTGGTCAAATTAAAAAAATGCCATTATCTGTTACGGATGTTGCTCGTATTGTGGCTTTAATTGAGGATGGAAGAAGTCAACGTTATGTGTCCGATACCCTGGGTATACCTCGAACAACAGTCCAGGATGCCTGGAATCGGTATATGGAAACGGGAAATTTCACCAGGCGAGTGGGTTCCGGAAGACAAATGCAATTGACGACCGCTTTATTATCCTGAATACTTTGCGAAATCGTAGGATTACAGCGTTTCAGAATCAACATCTGCTACAAGCCGTGCATAGAACTCAAGTCAGTGAGAGAACACTCCGACGAAGACTAAAAGAAAACAGCTTGTCTGTAAGGAGGCCTGCCACAGGACCCCAACTACTTCCAAGACATCGTCGAGCACGTCTTCAGTTTGCGCGTTTACATTTGAATTGGGATATTGAGTTATGGACTCAATCTTTTTTCGGGGCGTTTGTTTTAAAGCAGCGTATCTCCAATACAAACAGAGATAATGTCGTGATTAAAAAAACAAAATGCTCACAAAAGACGTGGCTACAATGTGATTTGATTTAGCAATAACTACTACAGCTGCTGCACCCTACAAGGTGTTACAAAGTGCGGGCAAAAAACTTCGCCTTATTGTTGTGCCCTGTATATGCTCAAAATAAATTTCTGACGTAGCATCCGTTAAGAAGGAATTAATTTACAATTTAAAAAAAATCATCAAAATCTAATGAGTGGTTCGCAAAAAATCCAACTTTCAAATTGGGACTAGTTTTTAGTGGCCGGTTTTTTTTTGCCGGTGAGTGTATTTAATTAAATAGGTACAAGTTGATTTTGAACCGCTAACATAATTCTACGTATAAAATAACAGCTACTTTATTTCCAAGCTAACTCTGACGTCGTTTTTTTTCGGTCAAATGGTATTTATACCGTCAAAACTCGCGTGTGAAGATTGGCGTGTGTGGAAACTTTTTGCATTTATTTAAATAATAGGTAATTTTGGCAAGTTATTATCAAGTTATCATTTCAAAGGTCACTGTGACGTGACTTTGTTTTATGGTATCGTGTATATATCTAATAAGAAAATAATAACTAAAAAACGGTAAAGAACTTTAATTCATATAATTTGTTTGGATTATCAAAAAATTAAAGTGCTATTATTGTACACATGCCAGTTACATATTTACATCATTTTGCCCAAATATTCTTGAATGAATAATACATTTTTCTTTTATTATGATTAATAATGTCTTTTTTTTTATTATATCCTATATCAATATAATATAAATAATTAAGTTTTATAGATAGGCATAAATTTCAAACTGATCTATAAATTTCCTATTATCTTGTGTTTTTTTCTATAAAATTGTTCAGTCGGGGTATTTAATCGAGTTGATATATAATAGGGCTCTGAAAATAGACTTAAATTGAAGTTACTGCCTGGTAGCACGAATCGGAAATCAAATTTTATTGGATATTTTTGCGGATCTATATCTGTGTATAGTTAGTTGTTAGTTGTTAGATTACTTTCTCAAATGTGTGCCTATTTCCTTGATTTTAAATTTTTAATGGAACGATATGATTACAATTAATGACAAATAAATATTAAATATAGAAGTAATAAAAGAGATATATGAAATATAGTGACTATGCTATTATATTAATAAAATCAATGTTTATATATAATACATCAAGATCAAAGATCATAAAAATACAAACAAAAAAATTTTACGTTGTAAATGTAATGTTGTACAGTTTTAGACAACGATTATTATTAAAATGATTTTTTTTAACATGGTATATTTTTTTGTGGTGTTGGAGAAAAATCTTCATAAGACATCCAGAAAAAAGGAGTATTTTACCAGATAGTGTCGGTATCTTGTGTGTCCCATTTTGGTTGAAATCATACGGTATGTCCGTTATTAGTGAAAATAGAAGGATGCGTTTGCACAAACCTGTTCCACTTTTTGTCAAACGAAAGATGCTGTAAACAACATTTTCATAGCTCTCTTTGTTTATGAGCTACAGGGTCTTTTTGAAAATTTTACAATTTGGAACACCCTCTGTATCGCTGTTATTGCGAAAGGTATCGAGAAGGTGAAAACTGTTTATTGAAGAACTTTTTACCGAGAATACAGTGGCGTAGTCTGTTATTCTACCAAAAAAAATATTTTCGAAGATATGAACTAAAGTTATGTTTTTTTTTAAACGGAACACCCTGTATATTTATAAATTATATGATTTGGCTTGCCATAAGCTTCTCAAAAATATATATCACTTTATATTTATTTTCACTATTTACTGCAATATTTAAAAGTTTTATTAAAAGATCATATTTATTGGTAGGCCATGATTGATAACATAAGAAAATAAAGAATTATTAAAAGTATACTGCTATCTGTCTCTTGTTTTATTTTAAGGGCTACTAATAATTTTTTTATATATTAGGAAAACTTAACTCTCTACCGCTATTTGTAAATCTTGGAAGTTGTCGTACCGGAAGTTTTAGATATTCCTTTAGCTAATTTACGTGAAATATACTTTCAGCAAGATGGGGCTTTCCCTATCAACTTTGAAAATATTAGAATTATGTTAAATTATTATTTCTCAAATCAATGAATTGGAACCAATGGACTCGTGTGATGGCCTCCCTGATTCCCGGATTTGTCCGTTCTCGATTTCTGATTTTGGGGATTTTTAAAATATGAAATATATCGTGGCAACTACAATGTCGAACACCTGGAAAATGCTTTAATAATGCAAGCTTTTAGATATTTGCAAACCCATCCCGTTATATAAAGAAAGAAAAATATATTCAGAGATTCAGTGGTAATAGTTCAAAAGTAAAATATATCATTCCCAAATAAAATTTTAATGTGTGTATGACTATTTTAGTAAATACCATTTTGATTTTTATGTTATTTATCACGGCCTACTAATAAAAAAATGATATACATATTTTAAATATTGAGTGAAAATAAATATAGAGTGATATGTATTTTTGGGAAGCTCATAGCAAGACCGATCATATAATTTATAAACATACAGGGTGTTCCATTTGAAAAAAACATAACTATAGTTCATACTTTCAAAAATATTTTTCCGTAGAAAAACAGACTACGCCACTGTACGTAAAAAGTTCTACAAGAATCAGTTTTCATCTTCTCGATACCATCCACAACAACGAAGATATGGGGGCTGTCCCAAATTGCAAAATTTTCAAAAAGACCCTGTAGCTCAAAAACGAAGAGCGCTATGAAAAATTTGTTTACAGCATCTTCCGTTTGACAAAAAAGTGGGACAGGTATGTGCAAACCGCACCCTTCTAACTTCAGTAATAACGGAGATACCCTATGATTTTAACCAAAATGGGACACCCTGAACAAGGTTTGCTAAAATGCGGCTTTAGACTCCTTTATTCCCACCTGTCTTTTCCATGGTATGTTTTATCTAGTGCTTTGTTGATCTGTGGTTAACCCTCAACTGGCGTGGTGGGGTCCAGCGGACCCCAAGCGCTATTTAAACCTCTGTAAAATGGTTACGTTTAAGAATTAGGCCTCGCCGCGCCATTTACCTTTAAGTTAGGGTACCAAAATGCAACTGTTAAAGGCGCGCTTGATTTTATCAAGTATTGTTCCTACCAGCGGTGGCTAAAGTTTCATTGGGGTCTGTGTGGCACCACCACGCCAAGAATGTTTCATTATTAGGATGGTGAGTAGTCTAAAAAGTGTGCCTCACTGGGACGCTAGGAAGCATTTATTGAGTGGTTTGATGAACTTAAAAGGCAAGGAAAGAGGCTTAAGTGAGATGAAGATTATCGAGACATTGATTTTTCACCGAAGAGTAACCATAACTCCGATTCTGAATCTCTTACTTATAGAAGAGAGAACACTGAATAATCAATACCAGAAAAGAAAGAGATGTGGTATATGGCAACAATATGTATGAAGAAATGACAAAAAACAAAAATGTCATGAATCAAATGTACCAGATGTGCGGCAAATGCAGATCCTATATTAGCATGAACTGTATTTGAAAAAGTTAAGTACATTCAAGGTTTGCAGTTTTGTTGAAAATAATTTATGTTTATTACTTTAGCTTCACATTTCAGTTTGTACTTTTAATAATACAGTAAAATCATAAAATATATATGTTATTAATTTCTATGAGTTTCTTAGTCAAGTTATATTTCTGTTGTCAAAAATTCCTAAAAAATGCGTTTTACTTTATTTTTGTGTTCGTTCTTATTAAATTGTTCAAAATTAATGAAATTGTTTGTTCACATGTTTGAATATATTGTAAACAATGTTAAAATAACAAGCTTTTATAAAATCTCTTCATCGTGTATTTTTAACTGAGAAAAAAAAATTGGGATCCGTCGGACCCCAGCACGCCATAAGCGTTACAAGAATTCACCACGCCATGCGCCAGTTGAGGGTTAACTATGAATAAATAAATAGTTTATATATTATTAAAAATATATTTGTGAATTGATATTCTCTACAATCACAATGTGTTTTTATTAATATTGTTTTAAAAAATCCATCGCTATAAATAAACACACCGGAAAAATCCAGGGAAATCATTTTATTAAAATTAAAAATAAATGTTTAGAATAAACAACCACATATTTCTAGGCCGATTCTTTCTACTTCGATTGAAATGAAATAGTCACACTTGTTATTTCTGAATTTCGCATGTTTGCAGAAGTTTTTGTGTATTTTTTGTCAAATGTATAAAAAGCACCTAGCACCAATTGTTCGAATTTAACCTGTACTGGCTATGTTTTTATGATTACTGGCCAGAATTCATTCAAATAACTTTGTTCAGTATTAAACAACGTTATGGAGCGTAGACATCTTAATAGAGACGAAATGCTAAGGGCCGTGGTTATGCTCGAAGTTGGAATGCGTCAAATCGACGTAGCTAGAGCTTTAAATACAACGCAAAGTGTAATATCGCTATTAAGTGCACGCTACCGTGAAAGTGGTGATGTTGCTGAAAGGCGCACAGGGCGACATCGCATTACTACCCCTCAGCAAGATCATTTTTTACAATTAAATGCTCGACGCCGACCCACTCTTACAGCACCAGAGCCTAGTTTAATTCTCCAGGAAACACATAACGTAACCGTTAGTCCTGACACTGTTCGCAATAGATTAAGTGACCTCTCTTAAGAAGCAGACGTCCCTGGAGGGCTCAACCCTTAACGAGAGGAAATCGAGAGGTACGATATTTGTGGGCTCAAGATCATGTTCAGAGGTCGAATGAACAATGGGCCAATGTTCTCTTCACGGACGAGTCACGCTTTGGAATTCATCCGGATTCGAGAAGGCTTAGGGTATGGAGAGAACCAGGAAATCTTATTCGGTTGGATCATGTTCAGGAAGTGCACCCGTATCAAGGTGGAACAATTATGGTCTGGGGAGAAGTCCAGTTAGGCCGAAAAACCGATCTCGTTTTTCTTGAAAGGTTTCTATTATAACAGGAATCACATATCGTGATTTAATTCTTGAGCCTGTCGTGTTACCATATGTCAATGATTTTGGGAGAATCTTCATTCCCATGCATGACAATGCACGGCCTCATACAGCCAGAGTGGTAAGCGAGTTTATCAATGCTCAAAAATTAAACATCTTACCCTGGCCGGCACAATCTCCTGACCTCAACCCCATCGAGCAAGTATGGGACGCGGTCCAAAGAAGAATTTTGAGAATGGGTATGCCTCGTGAAACTCGTAGGGATCTGGTTCGGGCCGTGAATGCAGCGTGACAGGCTGTACCTCAAGAAGAGATCGACAACCTGATCAGGAGCATGGAGAGACGATGTAGGGCTGCAATGAACAGTAGAGGAGGCCATACCCTTTATTAAGTAAAAATGGTTTTATCTTCTTTTTTTTAATTCACAGTTTAGAATAAAAAATGTTTTATGTATTTGTCTGAGTTCAATAAAAATTAATGTAAATTTGAAAATTTCGGTAAATTTCGCATTTTTATTTTCAAAACGTTCTCTAAACCATTTGTTTATTTTAATTTTACTATATCAGAAATGCAAAAAATAAAATTACTGACGATGGCTGGATAAAATTGTAATATTCCTAGACTTTTCCGGTGTGTTTATATGTAAAGAAATCGCACTTATCGACTAAATAGTGGAAACCTGGTGTAAACAATATTATAAAGGAGAAACTTTGTAATACAAAGTTTCTTTTATATCAACACAGTCTTTTGTGAGTCTTATGAAATTATTATAAAATATTAACAACAATTAAATAAAATAAATGTTAAATATAAATTACTTGTCTATTGCAGATTTATTGGCTGTGGTAGAAACGATCGTTTTAATTATGTAGTAATGCAACTTCAGGGTCGAAATTTGGCTGAATTGCGTAGGGCTCAGCCAAGGGCCGCTTTCAGTCTTTCGACCACCTTGAGACTAGGACTGCAAATATTGAGAGCCATAGAAAGTATTCACTCCGTTGGATTCTTGCATCGTGATATTAAACCCGTAAGTACTCGAAGTTTTTTTTCATTTGAATATTTTAGCCACTACTTAAAATTGTGTAACAGTAAAAACTTTAAATTTAGTAATCCAAGGGCCAATTTGAAAATACAATGCGAATTAATGTTTAAAATTCTTTGTCTTTGTCTGAACACCTTTGGGCAGGGGTGGATGGGCCATATGGGAAAACGGGAAAAATCCCGGTGGGCCGGTGGGAATATGGGCCGGTGGGTCGGTCCCAATCAGAGCTCAAAAAAAGATTGATTTAGCAAAAATTAAATGGTTAATCTTCTAACTAAAGTTACGTAAGATTCTTAATGACTGCTTAACTAACTAATCAATTTGCATCAATATAATCGTCAGTTGCTTTTAAACATAAACACCAATTTGTAAAATAACTATTGTTAGATGTCTTTCTCTGAGACACTTATACTTTTTATATAACTGTTGTTTGTTGTTCCGTTTGAAATATACAAAGTTCTGTTTTATTATACAAAATGAGTCTATAAGTGCACTTTATTTGTGCTGCTTTGTACAAATATTTTCAGGGCTGTTAGATGTGAATAAAAGAAACATAATATATTCTCTTTACCGTGTTTCAAATAAGTCCAAAATAACCGTTATTAAAGTTTGAATTAAAAAAATATTTATTTTTAATAAATTGTGTCACCGAAATTTTTCTGTATTTGCATCTTTTTTTGTGCTGTACTATCAAAGATTAGGAAACTATAACGTGGGAAAATTTGCGGTGAACAGGGAGTTCTAAAAATTTTTCTAAAATATACAGGAAAATTTAAAAGAAAAAGCACGATTTTCAACATCTTTTTTTGCAAAAACTTCATAGACATGTTCCTGGGGTCGAAATATACCACCCCTGAAAATATTTGCACTTATTTAAGACTCATCCTATAGTTTGTATTTAAATCGGAGGCAAAAGAGATTTTTTCGCCCAAGCGAAAATCACCCTTGCTTATATAGGGTGTTCGATAAATAACTGCAAGTATTTTAAGGGGGGTAGATTTGGTCAAAAGAAACATTTTTTCTCTTTACCATTTTTCAAATAAGTTCAAAATAACCGAGTTATTTTACTTTGAAAATTTAAAAAATGCTTTTTTGCTTAAATTTTGAAAACCACTGGATCTTTTCTGGATTTTCTTTCATGTAAATGTAATCTACTACCTTTGTTGCCATATTATTAAGAAATTATGTTTTTTAACTTAAAACTAAAAACATTTCCAAAAAATTCCAAATTTTCGCCAAAAAAAACTCGTAGGTGTGTTTCTGAGGCCGAAATATACTACCAGTTAAAATACTTGCACTTATTTCTCGGACACCCTGTATATTAATAAATAAAACATGTTTCTTCGTTATGGTCATTTTGTTTTTGTGGATTCGGACCGGTTGCCTGTTATTCCCGGGTCGGTTTCCACTTACCCATCCACCCCTGCCTTTGGGTGCCTTGTATCTTAGATTAGATTAACTTAAATTTTTTTTTTGAAATATTAGCTCAGGTCTAAGAGAAAGTGTACTATAGTCTGTCCAACGACAAAATCCTTGACATTGATAGATGGGTCTGTCATTTTAATTTCAAAGTAGTTGATTTTATTCTAAAAGAAATGTGTTGATACAATTGGAACGCATAGCAGGAAATTAATATATTTAAAATTTGAGTGACAAGTGATTTCTTCAAAATGTTGTGAAAAAAAAACTGTATAAAACTGAAAAAACCTAATCCAGTTATTTTATTTAAAAAAAATTACGGTATGGGTACGGTACGGTACAAAACAAGCCAGGGTGTATTTTAAACAAAACACCACATACCAAAAAAATTAAAAAAAAACTATTTCTTACTTTCAAGCTCAAGCAACTTCCTGCATTTATTATTATATTTATCAATATCACTTATGTACAAATAAAAGTTTTTTAATATTGCACAGGAATAAATAAAACACAACATAAATAAAACAAAATATTTTATTAATAATAACACTTACTGAATTGTATGCCTTAAGTTGTTTAACTAACTTTAATTTTTTTAACCAGTACCTTTTGACATTATCTTTCTGCAGTACTAAAATCTATTATTTATATATCGTGTGATGTTGTTATTTTACAGCTACTCCTGTTTTTAGTACCAAATACGAGATGATATACAGTCTTTATTGGTGTATAAAACTCTCTGCCTCGGCACAAAATATTAACTATAAACTGTGCTCTGGGTCTACTGTTCATTTTCTCTCGATTTTTCCTCCATACTTAACTTCAAAGGACAGAAAACACGCGTAATAACACGAACCAAAATGCAAAAACAATTCGCAAATGTTTATAATCTTCTAAAACGCATGTTATTTGACATAATTTGACACAAATTTATAACCTATAATTTGGCAAGACTGACAAGCCTCAAAAATCTTAAGGCGAGTTCATACGCTTCAGCGTCCATGCATCGTTCATCGTTACTTCAATAATATTGAAATATGATCTGTCATTTTTGAAATAAACCAATAAAACTGGTTAAAAACAATAAGAGATGACGCACGACGGATTTATATATAAACTCATCCATAGTTAACTTAAAAAATATTAGAAACTTATTTTAGTGAAATAAATAGATTGGTATGGACGTCATCTGCTTTTTTTCTGTCATCGTCTGTCGAAATCTTACCTGTTTATTTATATGTGTATAGTTTGTCCAACGATATTTTCTGACAGTGACAGTTGATTTTCCATTTTAATTCTGAGTTTTTTTTCTGTTAGTGTCTTCTTTCGAAATCGTCCTTTCTGTTGAGCTTTTATCTATTATTACAACTTTTTCACTTTTTTACAATATTAGTTATGATAGTTTGTTTCTGTTAGCATAAACTTTTTTTATTTCATTAATTTTGTCATAACTCATACCAGTCATTAACAGTCCTACTATAACATGGTTATTATCCAGTCTTAACTATAATATGGTATATTTCAGAGTAACTTTTCAATGGGTAGACTGCCATATAATTGTAGGAAAGTATATATGTTAGATTTCGGGCTTGCTCGACAGTATACCACAGCGACAGGAGAAGTAAGAGCACCCAGGGCAGCGGCAGGGTTTCGAGGAACTGTTCGTTATGCCAGTATTAATGCTCATAAAAATAGAGGTAAGAAAAGAAATAAGTACATATACAAAATATCCTTAACATAACTAACCTAAAAAATTATCATATTTTTATTCGTTTTTAGAAATGGGTCGTCATGACGATCTTTGGTCGCTGTTTTACATGTTAGTCGAATTTGTTAATGGACAATTGCCATGGCGTAAAGTGAAAGATAAGGAGCAAGTGGGCTTAATGAAAGAAAAGTATGATCACAGGTTATTGCTGAAACATTTGCCTTCCGATCTGAAACAGTTCTTGGATCATATTCAAAGTTTAGAATATGCCGATAAGCCTGACTACTCTGTAAGTAACAATTCTGATTTAATAATATTATTACAAATAAGAAAATACGTTAATCGCAAAACATTTTCCGATGCACGTCATCAATCATATCGAAATAAAAACACTAAATCACCACAATACACCAAAACACTTTTACTTTTACACTGGACGCGCGTTTCGCTAACCATGTTAGCATCATCAGCAGATGATTATAAACTGCTTATAATCATCTGCTGATGATGCTAACATGGTTAGCGAAACGCGCGTCCAGTGTAAAAGTAAAAGTGTTTTGGTGTATTGTGGTGATTTAGTGTTTTTATTTTGCTGTTTAACACCAAAGGTTCCAACCCTCAACTGTAATCATATCGAAATTGACACTATAGTCTGTCCAACGACAAGATCCTTGACAGTGGTAGATGTGTCTGTCATTTTAATTTCAAAGTAGTTTATTTTATTTTACAAAGAAATAAGTTGGTACAATTGGAACGCATAATTAATATATTTAAATTTTGAGTGACAAGTGATTACTTCAAAATATTGTGAAAAAAACTGTATAAAACTGAAAAAATCTAATCTTGGTTAATTAACTTTAATCTTAATTTTTTCTGCAGTACTAAAATGTATTATTTACCTATCGTCTGATATCTCCAGTTTTTCGTACCATATACGAGATGGTATACAACTTTATTTGTGGCTAATACAACTCTGACTATAGTCTCTGGAAAACTATGTCTCTGGGCACCGAATATTAACTGTAAACTATGGCCAGGGTCAACATTTAATTTTCCCTCGAGTTTTCCTCCACTTAATTTTAAAAAACGCGAAACAAGTAACAACACAGTCCAAAATGTAAAATATTTTTCATTTCTATTTGACATAATTTGACACAAAATTATAAAATATAATTTGGCAACAGTTTGACAACTCTAAAAAATCTTAAATCGAGTTCATATGCACCGGCGTCCGTTTGTCGTTCATCATTGCGTCAAACCAATAATATTGATATATGATCTGTCATTTTTGAAATAAACCAATAAAACTGTTTAACGACAACAAGAGACGACGCAAGACGTATTTATTTATAAACCCATCCATAGTTAACTTAAAAAATTAGAAACTTCTTTTAGCGAAATAAATGTATTGGTATGGAAGTCAGCTTTTTTTCTGTCATCGTCTGTCGAAATCTTACCTGAGAAAAAAAAACAGTATAAAGTCTATAAACCTGACTAAATGAAATTTTGGCAAAAATATTTAAATTTGTTGTATAATTTAAGATACCGAGCATTTTACTTTATAGAGCAAATGATTGAAACATATATTTTATTTAGATTAAAGCTGCAAAAATTAGTTTAAACCGAATTTTACTATCGCTATGTTGGTCACATTGCGCCGTGTTCAGCAACGTTGTCGTTTATTATTTGACAATTCTCATAATGTCAGTCATTATTTTGTATAATATCGTGTTGTTGTTGAATCTTTTGTGAGTAATTCTCGTTTTTCGCCTATTTTTAAATTTGTATATTTGTCATTTTTTAAAAATTGTACTTTTAAGCGCAAACAGTTCTTTTAGGAACTAAATTCTCGAGTTTTTGTATTGGATTTCTTGAAATTGTGTGTTGAGAATATGCCGAAGCATTTAAGCTGTCGAAGCAAAGAGCTTGCAGCTTCCCTGATAAACTATTTTGAACGAGAACACAAAAACGTGACAATAAATGCTTTATTACCCTTGATTGCAGTCAGAGAAATAAGTTTCATTGGTAAGCCACATTATACCACTTTAAAAGTTATTTCTACGTCAGTTTTTAGTAAATTCTGTGATTTTAGTTTGTGCATTAATGGGACCCTCTTACTTGTTATTACCACTTGTGGTGTTGTAAAAAATGATAAAATAAATATATTGTTTCCCAATTATAAATTAAGATGTATAAAAAAAAATAAATCCATTAATTAATTAATTAATAATAAAAAGATAATTAATCCATCACAAGCTGGCAGCGCTGTCGCACATCGCTTGTCAGTCAGAGTTGATCACGTGCATAGGAAATTGTTTTGTGATTACCATACCTCTCTTTACCTCTTTATATACTCTTTACCTCTCGTTATATTAAGTCTGTGATCATATCAAACGCTAAATAAGCGAACGGTTTATTTACATTTTGCTTGTATATCATTGGGTCAAACAAGTCAATATACCTCTATACTTAATACATTTTTTAACTATCTTCTGCAGATGTTGATCTCATTGTTTGAACGTTGTATGAAACGTCGTGGTGTTAAAGAGTCTGATCCATTCGACTGGGAAAAACCGACAGGCGATTCCCAAGTTACCTCTCAAGTATCTCAAGCACAGCCTCCGACCACGGCGCCCACGACTTTGCCACGCCAAACCACAAAACTTGTCACTACCATCGACAACAACCAGGAAAATATCGAACCCACAGATAATAAAGACGTGAGTGATTTGCCGGAATATGGAATGCGATATTTTGACGAATTTTATTAATTTTTATTAGATGGTGGACGCTCGAAAGAGAATTGAGGCTGAGAACACGGCGCCTTTAGTAACGGACACGCAAACTAACGCTGCTAGACCAGCTGTCGATAAGAATTGTAATGCAACTGCTGGTGAACAAGTTGGTGAGTTTGAATATTTTTATTTATTCAAGTTTACACAAGTGCGCAACAAATGAGATTTTTTTTTATTATCCAATATCAAAAAAATAAAAAATAACCCTAGATCATATACAGGGTGGTCCGAACTGTATTCCTTAAACTACGGCAGCATATTCTGCAGATAAAAATAAGTGAAAAAGTTCGTATAAATGTATGTCCTAAAATACTTAGTTTTGGAGATTAGGGTGTAGAAGTTTCGTTTTTATTTCGATTTTTTCCAAATAATTTTTGAATTAACGTAAATATTTGGGTGAAAATTGGTGTCTGGGAGCTTTTTGACATGAGAAATTTGATTTTGATGTCAATATGACTCCTACTTGTAGAGGGCTACTTATATATTTTAATAATAAAGGCCAACACTTAATTTAGTCTTTTTGCTACACTTCACATAATTAGATTCACATTTTAGATTTTATTGAGTGGGCAGAATTAATTCAATTTCTGTTTCTATCTCGCTAATCTTTAATCCTGCCCATTGTGCATAGAACCCACACCTCTGCATTTCTTTGGATGTCTGTCTGTCAACTGGTTATAACGTCAATCACTTTATTTTTATTTTTTACTCATTAAAATTCAGACTACCTATTTAGATTGACCGTTGGGGTATCATTGGCTTCAATCAGTGTTGGTTTGCAAATGTTTCCAATATTTTCACCTGTTGTCGTCCTAAAGTCTGCTATTGGCTGCTATGATAATGCCTGCTACAGGCTGTCCAACGAGTGGATCCCTGACACTGACAGTTGTGTCTACCATTTTAATTCACAATCAAATTGTACTTTCTGTCATTTTTTGGATGTTATCGGTCGAAATCTTCCTTGACTCGTTGGACAGACTTTAGTCATAGTAGAAGGAGAAGAGTAATAATTGCACTCTCCCAAATATTTTCTGCCAGTTTTTACAATCTGTCGAATATCGGCAGATTGCAGAGCGTTTCAGTTGAGTTGCGTCCCATACCTGTGAGGTTCGAGCGTTGCGTCTCAGCACAGAGACGGATTGACAAAAAATGAGTGCTTTACTGTGGGCTGATATTGGTTGTAGTAATAATTTAAAAAATTGTGCTTTGAGTTTTTTTTTTAAGAGTCATTTGTGAACATGTTTGTGTTCACAGGGTGTTCAGGTTAATTTTCTCATGACTGATTACTACTTAATAATTCATATTAATTAAATGATTAATAAATATTAATTGATATTATTTTAATTTAAACCTCAATTTTTTATCGATTTTACTTTTGATAACCATCCCTTGCTTGCTGGAACTGCTGGAACTCCCTTGCGAACTGCACCATCACAAATTCATTGAACAAAAATTTGCTAGTACCGAAAGTACCGAAAAAAAACTGGAAATCCCGGTTCCTTAGAGGCATGGTACCGAAATTACCGGTTCCGAAAAATAGCTCCGGTTCCGGAAACGCTATAACGTACCATAACCGTGAATCGCCAGGGTACAGGATGAGTCTTAAATAACCGTGAATCGCCAATATACTGGGTGAGTCTTAAATAAGTGCAAATACTTTTAGGGGTAGTATATTTTGGCCCCGGAAATATGGGGATTTTTCTGCGCAATTTTTTTTTTGAAAAAAAAATCTGGAAATTTTTTTAGTTTTTAGTTAAAAAACATATTTTCTTGATAATATGGTAACTAGGGTTCCGAACCGGAAATTCCCGGTATCTTTTGAGATATCAAAGAACCGGGACTCGAAATTATTAATTCCCGGTTCTTTCGGTACCTTCGGGACTCGGTAACAATAACTAAAAAATTATTCTTTTATTACTTGAGAAAATATGCTGCTATTTCTCATTTTTCTTGCTTCTTTTCTCTTTTGAAATTTCTGTAATGTTTATTAGCAATTATTGAAGTTTAACTATGTTATTTTATTATTTAGTACAGTGTGTTGTTTAATGTATTAGTTATCCAATGAAAATCACCTAACCAATATATTACTACGAAACAAACACATTAATGTTAAAATTAAACTTGTTTTAAATTAAAAAAAAAGTTGTAGAAAATATTTGAAATAGATAATAATATAAAAATATGTCATTATATATTTTCCGCATTTCTTCCCATCAGAAGATTTTCAGATACAGAAGAATAATTGTTACTTACACAAAATGTGAAAATATTCTGTTTTCAAGCAAATTTTTCCTCGATGATCATTTTTTTTATTTTATTTTATTATGACCTCATATTTTCCTAAATACATATCTATGAAACTATGGCGAGTGCCACGACTATACCTTGCCTAGTTATAGACCACGACTATACAGCTACGTCAATGATCACGGGACGCGAGAACAAGGTCATATAAAGTGGCAGAAAAAGAACAAAGGATTTGACAAGGAGTAAAGCTACTAGTTTCCTTATACTATGCTTTAGTGTCATCTGTAGGATAATGGCGTCACGAACCATTATCCATTTATCTTGAATTCCTAACCTTTGTGAATATTAATATTACAACAAACTGTTCCTTCCACTGTTCCTTCCTTTTTTTCCTATTAGATCTGCAATGAAACTCCAAAATCAACTTACTCGATGATGTGAAATATCGAAACGAGGATAAGTCACGTAATTTTCTCTACATTATGTATAATTAAAAATTTTAGTAGTTATGTATAATTAAAAATCCTGTTTTTATTTTTAAGCTCGAAAACGCCGTGCGACTTCCCACCTCGATCAACCTCCTACCGACCGGTTGGACAACGAAGCTGCGGTGGCATCAACAAAATCCATCTCGGACGCGCCACGCCCGGCGCCTTTGAGGAAAAGCCAGTCGGGAGCGGCCACTTTGGGGCGGCTCAGGGTGGCCACGCCCTCCTCGCAGGGACAGGGCGGCAGCTTGGGTGAATCCCCAGCTACGCCCGAGCAGGAGCGACCGTTTCGCAAACGGCAACCTAGCGCGGCGAGGAGTTCTAGGGGTGGTACCCGTGATCAGAGCGTCACTCAGTTTGCTGTTATGGATGACGAGAATGTTAGCCAACAAGTAAGATGTGTTCTAAAGTGTAACGTGTATATAACAACAGAAATTTGGAATCTCTTGTGGGGAGATTCCTCTCGGAAAAATAAGATTTATTAACATTGGGAACGTTTATGTTCGTATATGGGGGCCAAATTTCTATTTAGGTATTGATATATTTCAGAAAGGATTTAAGGATTAAAAGATATAATATATTTACTTAATTTCAAGGTATCTGCATGAAAAATCAAGGCTGTTTTTATAAGGTGTTATAAAATAGATTATGAATATTTAAATATTTAAACTAACCTAAAATAAAACAAAATAACGTTGAACTACCCTCTATTAATTGTTTTTTTTTAATTATGTTTATTTTTTCTTCTAATCATTATTAGTTATTATTATTAAGAATGGTGTTTTTTTATATCAAATTTAGCTGCAAGTATATAACGTTAATTATGTTTTATATGTGGTGTTATCATTTCCAATGTCTCTGATGGTTGCAGCGATTGCGAAATCTGTCAGTTTTTTTCCTATCAACAAGGGGTTAAAGTCTTCAATTTTTCTCGATTTGTTATAATTTTCTTTCTAGTGCTTTTAGCGATTTGATTGAAATTTTGAGGGGAGCAGTTCATACAGTTCATACCAAATAAACTTTTAGTCACGTGATTAAGCTTGACCCGCACAGCGTTGCCCATTTTTATATATTTTCTTTTAATCAAAATATTTTAGGAAGCAAAAATAAATTAATTATAAATGTACAGGGTGTCCCAGAAATAGTGCAAGTATTTTAAGAGGTAGTAGATCTCCATAAAAGAAACATATCTTGTCTTTACCATTTTTCAAATAAGTCCAAAATAACGGAGTTATTTTACTTTGAAAATTTCCAAAAAAAAAATAATTTTTTGCTCAAATTTTGAGAACCATTGGATCTTTTCTGAATTTTCTTTCTTGTAAATTACTGGTCCCTCAGTAATCGTAAACACTCTTGGAAAATGAGTTTTTGTATTTGGAATCTTCACACTAATAAATGACTGACAATCTTTAATGGCATCTACGGTCAAAAACCTGATTTCTTCCCTCCTACATGCTCCAAATACTCCAACGATTAAGACAATTTTAGCTAACAGGAATTCTTTGTCATCGGCTTCTTTCATAAAGCGTTCTACTTCCAGTTTTGTAAATACTTTTGATTTCTTTGCCTGATATCCGGAAGCTTTTCTTTTTAAAAATGCAATAAGGTTTGTGAATTTGCTAATAACTACGTTTCTGTTCAGGTAAATCATGGTCGATGATCATCGATGAGCATCGAATATTTACTCCACAGAGTTGACGGCTTTAAGGTAGTGGAAAAGTTCAGGAAATAAGCTAGCAATACCTTTTCTGTGAAATTCTCAACATATTTTTCTTTGACCCAGGTTTCAAAGTTGTTGTAGGTGGTCTTGTATAAGTTTTTGTACTTCTCGGGCACTAACGTGGATAGCGCAGTTTTAGCACCTTGTTGAATATCCAAAGACTCGTCATTATTACTCATTTTTTCACACGACGTTTGAACCTGACAGAACTTTGTCATTAAACAATGCCTTAGAAACCGATTACCAGAACATTTTAAAAAATCTTTAAAAATAAATAATAATAATAGCATGAAAATCTCAAATTATCCGCTTTCACAAAAAATCTTGTATGAAATTCATTGCGAAAAGAATGTTTTAAGCACGGGACGCAAAATTGTCCAACGTGGCGAAAGCCGAGTTGCTAAATGCATCCATTTCGCAACTTGTTACATAAATAGCTAATTCGATATCGTGTACTCTCTTTTCAATAGTATTATGTATATTTTAGGTTACCAGAGGTGGTGGTGCTTTAACTTTAGCTAGTCAATGGAAATCTCAATTTGATGATAGTGAGGAAACGACGGATAACGAATGGAAACCAGAATCTCCCGAACATCATCGAGGATTAGGATCTCATCATAGTTCTATTCAACATCAACATTTGGCAACACCTGCAGTAGAAACTGTTAGTGGTGCATCACCACAGGTCCTTATATTTACCCCGTTTTGTTGGTATTTAAGTAAACATTTTTTTTTGTTCATTAGGCACCAGCAGCTTTAAGTAAAATAAGTGAGGATTCAAGAACAAGTCATAGGAAATACGTTAACATAGCTGGCATAGAAGATTATCCAGAATTAGTTGGTAAGTTTTTTAAAAGATATACATACTATAAAATTGTATTTGTTGTGTCTATTTTTAATTTCATCTGCAGATATATTCTGCCTTTTAACTCAATGTAATAAATGCAAAGAGAAATTTGAAATATTGGAAACATAATATTGTCGAAAATTAAATGATTGGTAATAGTGTATTGCGCATCTGTAGCTCCTAGAATAAAAAAAACTTAGGAATTTTGTTGAAGAATTGCAAATTTAAAGTATGTAGGTAGGATGTATTTCAAGAAAATATTTTAACTTCTATAGGGTTGCTCAAAAAAGTGCTAAAAGATCAGGATGATTTTTTTAAATGGAACACAATGTATATTATTGCATTTTTTACTTCCCTTCAGGTCACTTTACATGATCCTCAGATATGAGAAAATATATTTCTATAGTTTCAAAGATATTAAGGAATAAATAAAAAAATATATTTAAATTAAAAAATTCTCAAGTTATTTATTCTAGGAGCTTCAAATTTCCGACATACTATTGCCGGACCCCGTATTTCACTGGTACTTTAAAACAACACGGCAAATAAAAAGTATTTACCCTTGTAGCGGGTTTAAAACTATAACAAAAATTACAGAATATTTTGCTACACTAAATCTCAACACTAAACCAAAATATTTAAAAATCAACATGTATCTACACTTATACAAAGTGAAAAAAATGCACGCTCTTTATTGGTTAATTAAATATCGTCGGTCTCAAAAACTACAATAAGGATTTTAGTAGTATGTTTGTTATCCATAATCTGGCACAATAGTGATTGGTTTTCGTAACAGATTTCCTACAATACAATTTTCAGCTACGCAATGTTAGTAGCAATATGGTAAGTATTCCCAGCTGATTAATAGTCATATTCAGTCTCTCTCAGGCCCAAATTTTCCAAGCAATTTTACCAAATTTAGGAATTTAAGAACCCAAATTGCCTTAATAAAAATAATAATTCCTAACATTTTTTTTACATTTTGAGTTTTATAGCATATCAGCAATTAGCATTCTAGATAATATTATTATTTTAGATTGTATACTTTTTGATTGTTATATATTTTTTATAAAAAAATATTCTATTTATAATATAATTATTTTTATTATGCAGTATAAGTAAGGTATTGCTGATATCTCTCTTGGTTATAAACACTCACAATTTAATATGTCTTTTAGCTGTAGATACTTGGGCTGCTTCTGTACTACAACATTACTTTATTACCAATTATTTGCTGCTATTATGAAAATCTAGTACGCAACACTCTCTGCAATTCTTGATTTTTTACATTATTTTCTTATCCTGCTGATGAACCTGCAGTGAACTTTTTATAATTTCATCCAGTTCTTCATAATATACCACGTAAAATAAATCCGAAGATCTCAACAATGACACCGACAAAGACAGCGTCGAAATTAATAGCCTCAAACCATTCGAACTAACTTTCAAAATACTATACACCAATCGGTGTAAATAAACTTTGAATTATTGCAAATTTTCTCTTGGTTCTATCATGTAACTCTTTAAAAAAATGTCTATACCTATGTGGCGGATTCATTTCTCCAAAAAAAAATCCTTTGTGGGTATTTCGCCACTGCACTGCAAGAAAATCTACAAAATAAAATAGTTATTTTTTGTAAACACTTCTGGCGTTAAACCTAAACGGACACTGCTTGTCAGAAATTAGGTTTACAGTTATACAAATTTGCCTTACAAAGAAAAAAAAAATGCTTAGCGTTTCGGACAGTTTATCTCTTTCCGTCGTCGGAAGCAAAAAAAAATACAAAGAATAAAGAAAAAACTATTTAAAATATTTGAATTCAACTATTCGAGCACACTTTATTTTTTTAAAACAGATACGTCGTTTTCTTGCAGTGCAGTGGCGAAATACCCATAAAGGATTTTTTTTGGAGAGTTGTAACCCATTGCAATACTGCTGTATAAATATTAATAAAATTGTCTACCATCCAAGGTGGAATCGCGAACACGATGACAATTTACGCTACTTTTTCCTGTGTTATTCATATATTTTTAACCATAATAGCCGTTTGTTCCAACTTTCAACTCTAGATTTTATATAATCTGTCCCACGAAAGAATGTGGTTATATTGCTGTCAGTTTTCTGCAATTTTAATTCAGAAATAAGACAAAAATTGCGGATGTCGTCTGTTGAAATAATAGAAGTCAGGATAAACTCTCTCACGACAAACTAAATTTAGCATTATTTAGCTGAAAAATAGTTTTCCCATTTATTCTAGCGACGTTTGTCTGTTCCTACTATATCTTTAGATGGATTCTATGATTCATGTTGTTCTTGTCAGTAAAATTAATATAAAAACCTACTACCGTCGATTGAAAAAAAAAATAAGAAGATGACTACAACCTTATGGGCAATTTTGTGGCACAAAACTTGTCCGAGATATAGCTGACGTTACCGTCATGATGTCTGAGAGTTAGTTTATCTCTACGCCACTGCGCGGTAATAGCATATTTACAGCGCAGCGGATAAAAGAATAATGTGCTGTAGTTCTGCTTTCAGTCAACAGAGTGGGTGGTTGCCGGAGATTAATCGTCATTTCCAAGCCAACTAAACGACCTTTTTCGATCATACGAATTATTCAGTACCTATAAAAGAATTTTTATTTTTGTTCTTTATTCCATGTTTAATACGAATAAATTTTCAATACATAAACGGGAAATTTTCATCCAACGATATTATCGCCAAACATCGTACAGATAATACCGTATAATCGAGAAAAAACCGCGTCAGCGATGGCTATGGAATGAAGATCGCTGTCATTTTATATGTAAATTTATATGGGAAATGTCATTGATGTTCATTTCCCAGCCAACTGGACGCCGTTTTTTTTCGATCATACGGTATTACATATTTTAATATGGCAACACTGTCGCTTTCATTTCCACATCGCCTTGGATATGCCTTCGCTAGCGGACTTAAATAAAAAATAAGTGTTTTATGCGTTGGCCGCAGAACAAGTGGCGGCCCAACCGTACAGCATTTGAGACGTAAGGGGAAATCAAATCAGTCTTGTCACGAATTCGCCCATTGGGTTGCGTATCTTCCCAATTCTTTCAATCAACGGTACTACATATTAATTAATGTGACAGATTACATACATAAACTGTCATACGTATCGAACATACCCTAGATCATATATACTTACGTGGGTAAGTAACAAACATATCAACGATCTCCATTATCTTATTTCTTTGTTGCACACGCGGTTCTTCTACTCTATCCATCCTTGTCGAGGACCTATCGTCCGCACGCCAATTTTGAACATTAATTTTAAAAATTTAATTTGTAAAATGCTTATATTTGAACAATAAATTGAATGTTTACTGTCACAAAAATGAAATTATATAAAAAATACATACAGCCACTCCGTACGAATATCAATATTCTTAGAAAATCTAACCAGAAAGTATGCATGTGGCTTAATATAAATAAAAGAACAACTGAATACTTTACTTGTCCATGAAAAGATAATTCGGGGACCTTTATATGAGAACTTTCGCACACTAAACACTTTCTAGTCATTTTTACGAGTATTTAGAAAGTCGAACGAACAAAATAGAAATATAATTGCACAAACTTAAAATTAACTTCTCACTGAAAACACTTGCATCCTTGGCTATATAAAAGCGATCGATAAAAGAGTAATTAATACAGTTTTTAAAATAAAAAAGCAAAAAACAAGCGTCGTTACACAATGGAAATAAGATTATGACATATATTATAATTATGACAATATGAAGACAATGACAATGAAAAGTTGGCTTCCATAACAATGTATAATTTGGACTTTGTAAACCGAATAAAATTGTGATTATTTTGGAAATACGTGCAACTTTTAATGCGCATGCGCAAAGTAAGGTCCTCGAGAAAGACAAACCTATTGAACGTTTCATAAGTGCAGTAAAGAAGGTTTGAAAATGGCATGTCGTGATGTTGGAGACATATTTTTTAATGCTAAATTTATGGCCTTGCTTTATCCACGTTAGTATAATATATATGATCTAGGAAATCAGACTTGTCACGAATTTGCCCATTGGGTTGCGTATCTTCCCAATTCTTTCAATCAACGGTACTACATATTAATTAATGTGACAGATTACATACATAAACTGTCATACGTATCGTACATACCTGACTTTATGTATCTGTTTCTCATAGGCCGGAAAAAGAAGCGCGTTTCAATTCGTGAATCGCTCAACAAAAGCATCGGTTTAAGCTCGATATACGAGAGCATTAGCGAGAGGGTATTCTGTAGAGCCTTCTTGAATCCGTACACATGCCGAAGCTACAAGTCAACAACGGTAGCTTCCTCGCTAGCCGATATTTTATCCGTAGACGGTTCTGATCCATATAGTTGTCCTTTGGATTAAACAATTAAAGCAATTAATATGTAAGCAGTTTAATCTATAAATGTTCTCGTCTGTAAATGCAGTATTGAGCTGTTACATGTTTGATTAATGTGTTTGTCCTATTCTGATAACTCAAATCTGTGATAATAGATCCAATAGTATATCTAAACAAAATCTAAAAATTCGTAATGTCGTTTATGATTAGACCTTTAATTAGGCATTATTTCCTAAAAAAACCTATAGATCATACCAAATAAACTTTTAGTCACGTGATTAAGCTTGACCGGCACAGGGTTGCCGTCTTTTACATATTTTCTTTTAATCAAAATATTTTAAAAAACAAAAATAAATTAATTATAAATATATAAACAGTTGATGTAGATATATTATTGACATCAACAAAACTCACCTCCTTAACAGCACTTAAGAGTCTATTACGCTGTACTGTTCGGGTCGCTCTCAGGGGTCGAAATATATATTATATTTCAGAAATCTGTCGTGTTAAGTCACACCCAAAATTCCAAACACGTGCGTTGATTAAGGTTTGCAGAGCTTCATCGTTTACCATAAAATAGCGAGCAATTTGTTACAAAACCATATAAATT